CAGTGCTTCTCAAACTATCTGATGTGGCAGACCAGCAATTTTTTTTGTTGTGGCAGCCTCAAGAATGACAAATTCTGGGTAGCTATAAGATTTAAAGCTTTCTGGGTGGGACTGTGTCTGCTGCTTTGAGATCCTGCTGTCATCTTGAAAGAATTTTCACTTTTATAGTAAAGACAAAAATGCTAATATTTTTAATATTATAGATAATTGTATAAATAATCTTGGCAGGTTCAGCACTTTATTCATGCTTGGGGAAAACCAAATGTTAAGAAAACCCTCAATGGCATGGGAAATAACTAAAACCTTTATCCCAGTGTGATTCCAGCATAAAACATTGGTTTGTTTCTATCTGTATTATTAATAACAACCCTTAATACTTGCTATATACAATCATTGTTAAGAATGTTGTTCAGAAAAATCCTGTTAAGAAAAAACACAGTTAAGGATGCTGAGTGTTGAAAACTGTCTAAAAGACCATAGCCAAAGACAAATGATAAATGGCACCATATCTGGTGGGATACTATATGAGATCAGTGTTAGGCCTGTTCTTAATACTTTCATTCATGACCTAGAGAGGGAAAGAATAGCACGTTGTCCTGAATCTGATATGGGTGACTTAGCTATTAATTATTGCTTAGCTATCATGTTGAGCTTCCCATTTATATGACATCATTTATGCATATACTGTTTTCCCCCTGCCTCCCAGTGCAAAATTTTAGGCCAGGTCCTAGGCCTCATGTATACAAGCCTCTACCAAGAGTCACAGGCAGGAGAGCAATAATACACAATAATAATACACATTAATATACAATCATAATGGGTATTCTGTATGCTATCTTCAACAATTGTAGTAAGAATAGGGAGTTGCTTGAGTATGTATTCAGCTTCTCAGTCAGGTTTGCAGCCCTCACTGAACTCTATGCCATCCTGGTCATGCTGCTAGCAGCACCCAAGCTAGCTAGTTTAAAGCTATCTTAGCTATGATGAGATGATCTGCGGTCCCTGCAGTGACAATCCTCTTCACAATACCCTACAATTCTTTACCAAGAAAAGGGACAGCATAGCAATATGAATATACCTCCAAAACTTATAACAGCTGAACTTTTTAAAAATTTTGCCTTGGATTCAATGTGTTTTAATTCCATTACTACAGGAATATTAACCTGAAAGACCTTTTTTATGTGTGAATGATTTCAGCCTTAAGTACTCAGTGCGCTTTCAGGAAAAGGCTAAATGAATGCTTCCTTTCCTTTGGGTCAGTTTGGGAAAATTGTTCTAATGCTTCAGGAAGCAGGGGCCTGTACAATAAGTAAACTGAAGCACAGACTAGTATAAGATCACAGGAGAAAGAAAAGTACTACTTCTGAATTGAGATTTGAGCCACTTACAGACATGGCATAACTCCGTGGAGGTCAATGGAGTTGCGCCCACATACACCAAGTCTGTATTTCCCTTTGAGGGTGTATGCTTCATTAGCTAAAGGAAGGGGCTGAGGTATATAGACTTTTTATTGTAGACATTACCTAACCATTTCATTTGCCATAATGATGCAACATCTAAAAATGTCCTGACCAGCTCACTAACATGAGGCGCAAAAGGTCAGTCTTGCTTTATACTATTTGCCACATATGCACATGGTGTGTTTTTATGATTATGACATTTTTGTGGGAAGCACAAAACATTGCTTTAATAAGCTCTGCAGTAATATCCTGGGAGCACTAACATTGAGTTAGAGGTGCGAGTGACAGTGTGGTATTTGGCAATCCAAAATAAAGATGATTCATTTTTCTTTTGATCTTGTCTGTTACAGGGTAGGTATTTGAAACTCGTTGCATCATTTTCAGAACTGATCATTTCCTGTGATGGATGTGGTATTAGTATTTTATTTATGTTTTACATAATGCCTGTGATATTATAGCTATTTTAATATGCGTCAGAGATTCATATTTGTTTACATGATCTGTAATTCTTCACATTTCTAACTTCCTCATAAAAACAGAAGTTTTTAGATTCTTTCCATTGTCCATCATGAGTAACCTGATACACAAAGAAAGGATTAACGAATAAACACGTGTGCTTTTCGGCTTTTTTCCAACAATAATTTTAAACAGTTTGACAGTTAGACCTAGTACAAAGTACAAGAGGCTTTTACAATGTACAATTCTGAGCAAACAATTATCAATGACCTTTTATAAATTGTTAGCATGTTTCTTCTGATGTTTCAGTATTACAGCAATTGTTGGTTGCTTTCAGATCTCAGTTTAGTGAGTCTCTACCTCTTCCTAAAGTTATTAAAATGTTACACTTTTTTTCCCCCATGCATCTAAAGGGAAAAATTGCTTTCACTAAAAATTGTGTTTGATCCCTCTAAAATATAATGGAAGCAGAATTTCTTAGAAAATCATTCTTTATGATGGGGAGAGAGTTCTTTTTGTAGTTTTAACTTTGAGTGAGATTTCCAGATTCCCAGACCACTACTTTATTAAGCCATCTATCAAGTAACTTCTGAGAAGTGATCAGTCATGTGTTCAGTCAGTTGGTCCATCTAGCTTATAATGTTGCCTGTCCCCGTGATACAAAAGTGACTGTTTTTGTGGACATTGTTTCAGGAACGTCAGCCTTTTTGTATTTTACTACTTGACTGTGCTCACCTATTTTAAATTTGTAATTATATCTTTGGTTCCTGCAAAGCCTATTGGCTCCAAAAAAGCCAGCAATAGTTTCACTTTTGACTTGAACAAAGTCAAGATTTCACCCTGCCATAAATTTGTACCTGCAACTAAATATGGACAGGGTTTTGTGGGTCCCAAATACTTTTTTTTTTAAAAAGGAGGCTATGATGAGGTCCTTTTCAAAATTCTTTTATTGTGAAGTGTTTGGAGCAAGAGCTCTCGTTTTATAAAGCCTTCCAAAATGGAGGCTTCTACCCAGCTAATGGCTCCAGAGGCTACCAGAATACACGTTTCATTAATAATAATGGTGATGAGTTTACACACATATTGAAATGAGCTTCTGTTACTCTGTATGCATCAATGATAGCAGCTCTGTGCCATTCTTGTCTTTGGCTTGATGAGAGTAGAAAATGAGTTTGTAAAATATAAGGTATGGTAGCTAGTGACCCATCACATCCTGATTAACAGTTTTACCTGTCAAGGAGTATTGTGATATTCCTTAAGTGCATAATGTGTTACATTTACACAAAATACGACCAAATCTGTAAACTGCCATTGGATGGACTCAGTTGTATGTACAAATAGCTCTTCTTGGGTCAAAATTCGCTTTCAGTCTAA